GCGACCGCTCCGCGAATTCATTCGAAAATCCGCAGCATCAAATCCGAGTTTGTCGTAGTTTAGAATCACATAACTCAGCCGACCAGGCTGAAAAAATGTAAAATCCTACTTTATGAAAAATGTAAAATCCTACTTTATGAAAGAGTTTCTAAAACTTGAGAATAATATCCAGAGACCTGCTAGCTTTGTCTGTAAGATTTTCAATTTAAAGTACAAAAGTAGTGCTGATTAATAATTGCCTTAACTCAGTAAACTCGGTTCCACTGGCTGATTAATTTGATCGTTACCTGATCAGTGAGCCATATTGCTTGGTAGGTGGATAACTGGCCAGCGTCAATATCGGATCGGCCGACGACTGCCGATGCTGTATTGTACCAAGTGACCACCAGCGCTGCATCAGCGCGAAATGCTGCTGCCCCAGCTACACCCTCTGCAATTTAGTTCGCATTTTTATCACAAATATACGAATACTCCAGTCCAACTACAATCATAGGCCGAACTGAAACAAGTACTGTAAAATTGAGAAACCTTGAAGCCATCGCATCATTTCATCCAGAAAATAATCGCTGTTTCGATCACAGTGTACGTATGATTCGGATGTACTTGGACAAGCCTAGAATACAGTGAAGCAGAAAAGAAAATGAAATGTAAATGAATTTTTATCGCCTCGACTTCGCAGCCTATTGTTAGAGCCTTGAAAAGAAATAGAATGAACTTTGCTGGCCGGTTGTCCAAAAAAGCTGGACTGCTGCATGGTACCCCCATATGGCATATTAGTATTGGTGCCACGGCCAAACAAGGACTGTCGCAATATCAATCGATAATAAACACCGGTTCGCAGCCCTGGACTTGGATTCTGCGCGATCTAAATTGTGATCGTCATAAATTTGTGTTTTACGCGTCCAGTTCCAATTTGGAGCTGTTGACCTGCGTTTTAAATGGCAAAATCATATAAAATTTTTTTGAATATTCAACCTGTTGTTTGCACAGATATGGTGCAATCATTGCCGGATCTTGTTGCTGCGGCCAATTTGTTGATTCCACACCAACATTTATCGTTGGGCCTTGATCCAAGACTGTTGCAAAAGCGATGTAACCATTCACAGAAAGCTTCAATTTGATGGATTGATATTACGAGTTGCAATGAAGCAAAATTCGTAGGCACCTTTTTGAAAACAAGTAATTCCCTTCTAAAGCCGTACTCTACAAATACTGGGATTTCTCGAATCATTTGCTTTCCGTAATGAGAAAATCATACCACAGAATAATTATAAAGGCCGCCGTAGAATGGAAAGAACATGTGCATGTTGATCGTCTGCCCAGATGTGAGCATTCCTGGATGCACCTTCTGGTCACCTGCTTCCGGCCCAAATGGTACCAAATTTACTGCAAAGTAATGAGTCATTTAGGAAAAAAAACTAAAGCAACGAAAACACAAAAACTGCACTCAAACCTGGTCTGAAAAATTCAAGACCTCATTTCACTCATAAAAAATGTCAAATCGAGAAATTTGTCCCCTACCTGATTCACGTTTTTTGCAGCAGTAAACATTTGTTACTAAAGAGCTTCGCCCCCCATATATTGCTTGATTACATACAAAAGCTTACTTGAGACTTTTGCTGTGCAGATTGTGCAATTCAGTAGCGTATGCGTGTAGAGTTCTTCAGAAGAGAAGAAAGCATTTTTTCCTATTTTAAGGAACAGCACAGAAGTAAAAAATCCTTTCACTCAATAAAGAGCACTAAACTATTAAAAGTAAAACATATAATTAGAAATAAAAGCATGTAAATGAAAAATGTTGAAGTTCGGTCGATCCAAGGAAAAAGCAGAAACTTTTTTCTGTAATGCCCGGAAAAAAAAGTATCTCTTTTCCCTTTTCCCTCTCCACTCCTTTTTTGTAGGCGGCAGTGTGCATCACTTTACCAATGAAATAGAAAAATCTTTCCAAAAAGTTAGAAAATGTGGACCCACAGTTTGTGAAAACGACACAGCGAGGCATTGCTGAAAAATGACCAGATGTGAAATAAACTTTAAAAATGTGAGTGGAAACCAAGAGAAACTGATATTTTGGAAATGAATCAATTAAAGATACCGCCATAAACGGGACTGGTCCCGAGGCCGGTGTAAATTTGACCAGCATCTTGTCCTGGATTGACGGCTTGTCGCGGCTGAGATGCTGGTACAGGATTCTGTGCAGGTCGCTGGCCACAAACAATGAATGACAAGCTTATTAAAATAAAGCCACCGAACAACTTCATCGTGAAGTTTTGAGAATTTCGATGAATGGTCGTTGATTAGCTACGATCTTCTCCAATCTGTAATTAAATTTTCGTTCTTGCATGTATTTTCCCTGAAAAAAAAGCGACGAGAAAATACAAATTTGTGCCGTACTTAATAGGTGTGAAGTGGCGTGCTCAATTTCAGACAGTTGGCCGAATCCATCCAAACTGGCCTCTCTCGTCACCCCACAAATAAGTTTGCTCCTTTTCGATCATTTTTAACAAAAGTGTGCTCAAGTCACTGTTTTGCGCTGCAGCAGAGTTTGACACTTTCAGCATATTTTTAGGGCCCATTGTAAAAAATTGTTATTATTGCTAACATCGCTTTCGTTTTGACAAATGCATTGTTTTAGCGCACTAAGGCGCCACTCTTTGTCCACTGAAGTAGCTGAGCTGAAGCAAAGTTAACAAGTAATGCATTCAAAACAGTGTTGAATTTTCTTATTTTCCTTCAAAGTTTCTTCGGCTCTGATTTCACATCCATCCGTGTGTTTAGTTTTATTCACCATTCGGAAATAAATCAGCAATACTTCCTCCTGCATTCTTTTCGAATTTCAATTTTTTAAACGATCGCTGCCCTCTACCACACACAGTTTTAGTCTTCACATTCAGGGAAGGAAGTACCACAGGTTCTAATACAGAAAGTACACCTCG